CACACTTCCCGTTTTACTGAATCTAGAAAATTTGCTTGGGCAAAATTGTTCCAGTCATATAAAGATCCTTTATATCTAAAGCACATTGACTGCCCTGCTAATACCCGCTGGATCTAACGCGCTACTGAGTAATCATTGTGTCCCAATTCCAGAAGATTTTATCTTCCCTAATGAAATCGAGGAACCATATTGGGAATCACTGTATATGTGTGTATGTGTGTTTGAGTGCTTGTTCTCGTGTATCTGTCATACATTTTCAATAGCGCAATCAGAAAAGCCAGAAAGGTAAAATTTTGGGACATTTGTTCATGTTACGGTTAAAAGCTTAAATATCGGGCAACTTCTTATACGTTTTTGCATATTTATTCAAATACAAAAACGATTGCCGTGACGATCCACTGTGTAAGTGTGTATGCGTCTGTCTGGGCATTTTGACTTAGCAACCAAGCGAGTTTTGAGCTGAAATTTTGTCATTAGATTTCCTAGTTAAGTGATATCCAGACACGTGGTACCAACTTTCATGCAGAAAACTTTAGCAGCCAAATTGCTAATCCGGAGATCAGAAAAACTGGAAGCTAAAATTTTAAGAGGATGCTCCCTGCCCACGAAAAATTAAAGATTTCAAATTTTAGTTCCTCAGCACGCTTGGTTCTCGCTTACGAGTACACGAAATTTTTGAAGGGAATACTATTGACTCGGGAGTAAGGAAAGCTAAAAGCTAAAATTTCGGGAAGACATTTTCTGTCCACGCCAGTCAGGTCGTTAACTGTATGAATGATTTTTGCCTTACATTTAACTTGTGCACTCATTACTGCAAACTCTGCAGGAAGGAAAATAAATAATTCCCGGTTACTGGTCATCCATTGGGAATGATCTAGCTATTTTGGTTTCCGGCTTAGCAATTTTCTCGAAAAAATTTCACATTCCCGTACGTGAGAACTAGACGTACTTAGGAAATTAATTTGAAATCTTTAAATCGCACCGGCAAGCCTGTTGTGTTGCAAGTTAAGTTTTTTTTTTTTTGAATCTTAAGCCAAGATTACAAGTAAATAGAGATCGAATATGCATAAATCCTTAAATATTGTTCGTTATATTTTGCACATCATTTCATTTGCGCCCGCATGCGCAAGTGGTTGTATGGAACGACCAGGAAGTTAATTTGAACAGTGAACATGAAGTGAGGAATTAAAATACATAGTGGTTAAGCAGGCGATTTTTGGTTGTTGTTTTGACGCAGAAAATGTCGCCAGCTTTTAGCTTTCCTCATTTCTTGGATGACTGAAATGCAGAAAACAAAGGATCAAGCAGAGATCGGAATGCTTCCGGCCTAAATGCAAATTTGTACTAATTTGGAAGTGAACATCAGCTAAATGCATAATCGCGCAAAAGAAGCATGCTCGTACTATTCGCCGATATGCTCGGCTTCTTTCTGCAGTTTGAGTAGCAATTTGTTTTTTTTTTTTTTTTTTGCGTCAAAAGAAACGTATACACAAGACAACAAAAGAAATATATACACGAATGTAACACGAAATTGTTCGAAGTTTTTTCCCAGTTTGCCATTTCGATAGCTACACATTCACATCTCCGTTTGACTTCTCTTTTATGGGTCACGAAGTGCTGCACATTATTACGTAGCTTGCTTCTCAGTATTCTGAAGGTAATTGGCTACATTTGGAATTCTGTACTCTCACAAACGCAGCAGGCAGCGCTGTTTTAGAACCAGTTTTTTAGGAAAAAAAGACAAGCAAAAATTGTTTGGATGACACTACCATGCCACAGGCTGCTGCGCTAGCATCCTTGCATCCTAGCTTCTTTTGAGACTGTAAATGAAAGCTGTTTGGCCGGCACCAAACATCTGTGCAGCGCAGCACTCCGTGCAAAACGACAGCCAGTGAGTTTTGTGAATTAAGATGCATGGTGAATGAACCTGTCATACGTTTTGTTCAATATAAATGCTGTGGCGCGCATAAACTTGGCCACGCCTGTATGCAAATCCAGCAGGCAAATTCTAAATTACTGATTTGATTTCACGAAAACATGTGGCGTTGATCAGTTGGTCCGAATGAGCTAAGGGCGTAAAGGGTTTTCTTGCATTTGGCATTTACGATTTATGCAAATAACACTTTATATCGTAATCATTGCGTGTGTGTGTGTGTGTGTGTGTGTGTGCGTGTGTGTGTGTGTGTGTGTGTGGTATGTATGTATTTGTGTATGTATGTATATGTATGTGCGCATGTGTTTCTCTTTGCCTGTATAATTTCTTTCCACCAGCGACGAGAGTTAGGAAAACGAGAGTTTTGGAGCATAGTCGCCAGCTGTACATGTGGCCATAAACTTCAAGTTAACTCACATACTTCGTTTTTCCTGATCTATGAAATCTGAAGTAATTTTATGAATTCGAAACGGTGCGTGCTAATTTCGGTTGTTTTGATGAGTTGGGCTAATGAAAAACAAATCATTAGGAAGTGCTGCGCATACATGTTGACACGTTCAGCGACTGGGCACCTGCGCTAGTTTTAACGCAAAAATGCATGGTCGCACTGACTGCTGGTGCGCCTTCGCTGCATCTTCATGGATGAGCAACGCTTGTCTGCTTGCTGCACTGAGCAGTTCAGTGTCTCACTTTCGGTTAGTGCTTCCGGTCGAAGCAATCGGCCAATCATGCCTCATAATACCGCTCAAAAATAGGGGGTTTCTTTTGTTCGGAGGGTTAATTTGAATTTGCAAATTCACTGCAGACAGGAGCAGGGGGAACCGGGAAGCTGGGGAATGGTGCTTCGTTGTTATCCCAGCCATGTTGGATGTGCACCGAGAATTGCTGTGTTGCTGCTTGTGTGATCTGTATGTGTCTAGGCGTATCTGTGTACTGAGGCATTTCAGGAAGCAGTTGTTGTTTGCTGGCCGTTGAAAAGCTCTAAGCCTGAGTGCACAGAACGTGAGGAGTCTCGGCTGGCAGCAGTGGCAGCACAAGCAGCAACACAACCAACCAGTTGTGGCAACTTAACCGGCAACTCCTGTGCGTCGATTGAAGAAAAGCTGTAAATTGAGCGATGGCACCTCCGGCGTCCAGAAAGCAAAGTATTGTTGAGGCCGCCGAAAAGACCTTTGACAAAAACACACTTATTCTTATTGTTAATCTGCTTATTCTTGTTGTACTGATGAGCCTACTCTACATGGTCGCAACCTCGGCAATGGCCTCATCTGCAAGGGATGAGCACTAGCATGCGTAAGTCCTTAATTCATTCCTTTCCGTCTCTTACCCCTTGTTATTTTCCAGGAAAAGAAACATTCGTAGATTAAGTCATCTATTCACAGTTCCCAGTAGCCGGTGGCCAGATATTTTTACAATACTCGGGAAATGCGTTAATCTAGTCTTCTTGCTCTGCGCAATAAATGCAGCACTGTTTGCACCTCCGTCACTACACTAATCCCGACTGATCCAAGCTAAGATAGCTGAAGCCTAGCTGATGCATTAAAAGCACCCCAAAAATGTCTGGGCTTTAGAAGCATCATGAAAACCAGGCCTTCCCATTTCCCGTTATATAATTTCGCAAAAGCAATGGCAGAATTGTAGACAATTGATCAATCTTCTATCATCCAGCCTAAACAGATTTCATGTTTTTTTTTTTTCGATTCATGCCATTCGTCAGCACGAAGGCCAGCCCTGACCACTACAAAGCAGGCG